ACGTCTGTGCTGCAATTAAACAGCCCCATTGCCCAAGCCTGCTGGCCCAGGCCAGCTGTGGGTGTCTAATTGCAGTGTAGACATACCCGTGGTGTCAAAGTCAGTGGACGTTTTACATTTTATTTCTAACACCTTGATACAAACGTGCATCCTGTTGTGGTTTATGACAGAATTATAATTGTGATATATTAGTAAATGGAGGAGTTGTATGGTTGCTCTTGAAGGAGCTGTCCCAATGCAAAGTATTTTATCCAGTCTTCTGATTCTGGGATTGCTGTTTCTGAACTCCTATGGGTGTCTGATCACAAGCACCACTGTAATCATGTCTTCAGCTATCACGTTGAAAACCCTTGTTTATAGAAAATCATGTAGAAAGACTTTCTATATTCTAACTTTTGATAGGAATATATATGGTGAGAAACAAATGATGTAACTTGGACCTGTGGAATAGGGCTTTTGGCTAAACAGTCCTTGGGTTCTATTTCTGGGTATCTTTTGTCACCTCCTTTTTGTATGTGTTCGGAATTCCTCCTGCTAAACAATTCTTTACATGGGGATTTAGAACATACAGCACATGCAGAATAAGAGCTATAGGTTTCCTATCAACTACTTATAAAAGAGCTATTCTGTGCAGTTACTAACGAATATAGGAGCCACTCTAAAGTCTGAAAATTAGCTAGACAGACCTTTCTTTTGTTACATTGTTATCATGCTGCTAACAATTTGCAAGTATTAGTGCTCACTGTCACTATTTCCATGACCCTCTCTTTTTTCTGTGGAGATGTGTGGAATTTTATTATTTTTCCTACTGAAGCTGTCTTGCACACTCACAATAGCATCGGATAACTCAGGGTTCTTGTAAATCAAACAGATTTGATTGGCTTATTAGATTTTTTCCCAGTCCAGTGAATCTGATAGCTCAATATAAATAGCTCTGTTGCTGAGCCTGCACTTGCCATAGAAATGTGACTATACATATCTGTTTGCATAGACACAGTAAAATAATTTGAGAATAAATGACTGCTTTGACCATTATTTGTAAAAGACAAATGACTTATTGCAGGAAATATGTCCTAGTTCGTCTCCTAGTTTTTTCTTTTCGGGGTGGAGAAGTAATAGAATCATGAATTTTCATTGTGTGTAAACAACTGTGTTCCAGATGTTTTGGGAGGTAGCTTATTTCTGTAGCCTGCTAATAGTACAGACCAATAGGTGTTCCTTCTCCCCACCAATCGGCTGGGCAGGAAATGGCCATTGAAAATCGAGACCTTCTACCTCACTGAGACCAGGTCTCCCTACTTCTTTTATTATTGACATCCACTGAGCCAGTTGCTAACCTGCACTTAAAAATCCTGCATGCATTGACTGACCAGCATGTCTGATGTGAGCTTGTAAATAAGAACTGGCCTTTCACTTTAGTTTCCTTAAATGTCACCAAATGCCAGAAGGAAGGCATGAATGATTTGCACACCCAGCCTCCTATATTCTGCACCATTAAATCAATATAACTCTTTACCTTAGCAATGAGTATGAATATGAATAGTAATCTGTTAAGATGCTCTCCTATGGTAAGCATAGCTATACTTGCAGTATCTTGCGCTTACCACTGAATGCTATTCCACTGAAAGAGTCTGACCTAAATACGTATGGGGAAGGGGAAGAACGGTTATTGCTTTGTTAGGTTTGTGCATTTTATTGTCCTTGTCAGTTAATCTAAATTGCTATAGCTCTCTTTAACATTTTGCTCTAGGCTTCAACATGTGGGACTTGGTACCTACACTTCTGTTTTGTAAAAACATCTTCACCTTTGGACCTGGTTCTCCTAGTCGTTGCTCTTGTAATAGTTTTACAAATTTTAGAGTTGTTGGCAACTGTAGTGATATTATGGTACATTAGTAATCAAGTCCAGGTAATCTGGCTTTTCTTTTGGAGAGGGGCTTGGTACCAAGGAGTTTCCTTTGCCAGGGAAAGCAAATTCATTGCCAATTTAACCTAAATCAGAATCACAAAAAAAGTTAACTTAAAGCTGATTTCTAGGCAAAACTTGGTAAAGTTATGTTTGCTAAGGAAAATATTTAAAATAAGGGGAAAATTATTTTCTTTTAAAGACATCAACAGTTCAAGGAAGGTGGATACACTGTTAACTGAATGTGTGCACAATTAGAAGTTATCAGATTACATACTTCACAAACAGAATTTAGCTCTGCCCATCTTTTAATTTTAGGACTGCTGAAAGAAGGAAGTTGATGGGGGAGGAGCTTCCAAACATGAGTGAGAAGCCAGGGGCAGAGGAAGCTAGCCTTTAAGGGAAACCTCCACCTGAGTGCAGAGGGAAGCCCAGGATAGTGACTCTGAGGCAAGGGCTTTCTGATGTTTTACTTACCAACAATAATGAATCATTGTTTCAGAACTACATATCTGATTTCCGGGAATAAATATTCCTGAACTGCACAGACCAGTCATGTGCTTTGGATAACTAATATTCTGCCTATCCATAATTCTCCTATAATTTTAGTTGGATTAAGTATTCATTTCCTGTGCTTATCTCTCATGTACTGTTTTCACACCTGCCACATTCTACCCATGAAGTTAGGTGAGGTAATTCTTGTATATATTTTGTAAACCATTTTGAGATTCAAGATGTCAGGGTAAATGTTCTCCATTCAGACTCACAGTGCCAAGTCTGTATCTGAGATTAAGTGTCTTTGGGTGTCCTTTGTACAAGGCAAATTAATGGATTTTTCTGTTATAACTAGTTACCTCTTTAAGCTTTAAGAATTTAAGATATATAATAAAGATATTTATGTGAAAGTAGGGCCCCATATATTTTGTGATGCCGTAGAATGTTCTGCAGAATCCACTCCTTGCTGCAGAGTTGTACTCTAGAATCTAAAACTTCCTAGCTCTCGTGGCTGTGAAGAAAACCTACCCAGTCTGAACAAAGGTGTGAGGTTTTCCTGAGCCAGCAAGCAACTTGAAAAGTGTTTAACTGTATCATTCATCTGAGATTTAAATTCTAAAACCTAAAGATGACCATTTAAATATCAACTTCATTATGTCACTGCTGATCTTTATCAGATATATGGAGCTAATGTGTTCATCTCACAGCCTCCAACTGTCTGCCATGCCTTTTTGGATGCTGAAACCTACAAATATCTCCTACCCAGCTTTTCTGTTACAGCTTCTTTGATGCAGTTGTACGTTGTCAGTACAAATGTTTGTGGCACACTGAACTTGAATGACGCTGGGCCAGATTTTCCAGTCTGCTGCACCATAGTGCTGTAAAAACAAGCCTCTTGCTACAGAATATAGCTTACCACAAAGTATGTGAATCTTGTAAATAGCCAAGGAATTCTGAATAATCAAATTTCTGATAAGCATTGTTTACGCCAATCTGTTCTGAATCTCAGTTCGAACTTGCAGCTTGTTTCAGTATTTGCACAGCTAGTGGCTTTTTAAAAAACAACAACAAAAAGCTCTCTAAAAATATACTTATGCTTAAGCAGCAATGCATGTAAACTTTGCACACAAAGTACTTAATTTTGAATTTGGCATTGGTAATCTACAGTGGATGGGAGCTTTAGAAATGCTTTGACAGATGTGTACTCTGAATTTTCATGAGAGGATAGGATATTTCTCCTTTATAGGGACACAACATTGAAATCTAGATGGTACTGAGTGAAAAGTAGTTTCACCAACTACACCTGCCCTTGAGTTCCCTTACAAATTTTTACTGTTTTATAGCGAATGTCAGTGTTTGCCTTCCAACATCGTTCAGATCAAAAATACTCTAAGTGTTTCAACTGCCCTTGCTTGCTTAGCTTTGACTCTGAGTGTCAAGCTTGGTTCATTCCTTCTCGCATGCCACCATCAATATTAAAGATTCTGCAGGGCAAATCCTGCCCTTAGTGAGTTTTCACAAGGGAAACTGACTCTGTAATTGAAACTTAGCAAATAACAGAAGGAATAGAATCTTCCTTAATTGTGTTGACTCTGCAGGGCTAATAGGCGCGGCTGACTGAATAAATAGAGTGGAGATGTGTAGAATAAAGGCTTTTCCATAGACGCTTCATAGTAAAACCTCACTGTAGTAATATACCTAATTACCAAATATAGTCTCTAAAATAAATGCTTCCTGTTATCCCACTTTCTCTTCCAACTTGATTCTGTGATGTATCCTAATGCTGAATTGACATCAGTTGTTTGTATGGTACCATGAACACATGATTATGACTTTTCTGTGGGATTAAGCAGGAAGAAAAATGGGGCTGTTAGTGAACTTTCATCCTGTATTTATCAATATCTTTACTGGAATTCAAAAAGACTGATAGTTGCTTTTTCACTAAAAGTTAGTAGTTTTAGTATAGTCAGAAATCCAGTGGAAATTTTACTTGAAAATGTACTATCAGCATGGGTTCTGCCAAAATGGGTGCCCATAAATGGCAACTTGCTGTGGCCCTTTCAGAAGTTTTTTATCAGAAAGCCACTTCCCAGAATATGATGAAAATTATTAATAACTTGGCTGTGTAGTATTTAGCTTTTATTATAAATATTCAAATAGAAGTGCTCTGAATGTGCAAACTGCTGGACATACACTATTTAGCTTTTGTTTTCGTCACACTTTGCCATCACGATTCTTTGTAGAAACAAACTTCAGTATCACAGATTACATTTAGGTTCACATTTCCTAATACATTTTCTATTTGATAGCAAGATGTTTCTTCGAGTAAGTAGTTGCCACATATGTTAAATGTTTGATCCAGTGTCTAGAACGCTGTTTTATTTTCCTATTTTTGGAAAAATTGGGGAATTTGCCATTCTTTCCCTTGGTGCCTAAAACAAATCTCTTGAGGTTTTTATGCCCTTAAAAGGGTCTAAAGGCCATGTTAGTGCCAAAGAGTAAAAGTGACTAGTCATCCCTTTTGAAAATACAGAAAATTAATATCAATTAATCATACCAATTTAAGAAATGTTTTTAAGTTTTTGTTTTGTTTTTTCAGGAGGACCCAAATGACATTGATGCACTAAAAAAGAAAGACCCTCGCAGTAACAATGGGGAAGACAAAGTACAAAGTGTGGAGACCCTACCTCCAGGTATTGCAGTAATGTTTGTTGCCAAAGTAAAAAAATCCAAAACTATGAAAAGCTGGGGCTGTGAATTTTTCTGATAGAGGCTTTTACCCAGGAAGGGAGAGAATCATTATGCAAAATGTGGATTTGCTTTAATTCTGAAAACTTCAACTTTCTGAACTCTAGCCCACCTTGCGAGTAAAAATACCTTCTATCTACATTTGATCTATGCCTGCTCATGCTATAAGCCAGGGGTCTCAAACATGCGGGCTGCATGCGGCCCGCAGAGTTATTTGCTGCGGCCCACCAAGTTTCCCGCGCCCCCCGGAGTTATTTCCTGTGGCCGCCATGCTCCCCTTCCCCGCCGCCCCCCCCTCCCCCAGCTCACCACGTCCCCGCTCCTCTGCCTACCTCCAGGCACTTCCCACTGCCAAACAGCTGTTTGGCAGCGCTTAGTGCTTTCCAGGAGGAAGGGGGGAGGAGTGGGGAGCCGTGCACTCAGGGGAGGAGGCGGAGAAGAGGTGGGGCATGGGTGGGGATTTGGGGAAGGGGTGGGAAGAGGTGGGACGGGGCCTCATGGAAGGTGTGGAGTGGATGAGGGGACGGGAGGGCGGGCTTTTGTACCTTTATATGAAAAGGTGTCAGTGATGCGGCCCTAGGGCCAATGTATTAGTCCTCATGTGGCTCTCGTGGTGATTTGAGTTTGAGATCCCTGCTATAAGCTATTCCCTGGGTACAGATTCAATTGTTGGAAGAAGGCTCTTGTACAAGAGGTGCTCCAGTTCTCTCCACTGGTGGGACTGGGAGGTGGTATGCACTCCCCGATGGAATATGATACTTAACACATGAGCCCAGCTTCAATCAGGAGCAGGCCATTTTAGCTTCAAATTGGAGAAAAAAAAAACAGGCTTTTGTGATATATATTGTGTTTCTCTTGTGTAACAGTCTGTCTAGGCTAATGTGTTGGCTATAAGCTTTATGTGCTCCAAAGCAAAGTGACATCTTTTCCCACTCATATCTGACATTCTCTAGCATAGAACATATGAATGGAGCAAGGAGTCCAGTGTCTTTGTTTAAGAAGAACAAGGACATTTCCTGAGGTATGAGCTAGGAAAGCCCCAAGTGACCGTGTGATGTGCTCATTTATGTATTATCAATATAGGTTTGTTCCTCTTCCTAATACTCCTGTTGCTATAAAGCCACTGTTTTGCAGCAGTGATAAATATGCATAGCTAGAATTAAAGCACCAAAGAGTATGTGTGTGTATGGGGGGGGGGGGGAGCTAATAACATATTAGAATTGTTTCCAATGCCTAGCACTCTACTTGAAGGACAAGTGTGTCTTGCAAAGGAAATTACTTTCTACCAGATGGTTCCACAGTATGTGTTCTTTCTTTGGTCTTCTATATAAATCCAGATGCTTGGTCGGGAGAAATTATAACCCAAGCATCTGGACTAGTATAGATGATCTTGAAGAAAATTAACAACCTAGGCGAATTTTCCTCTGTACTTTGTTAAGCAGGATTTGCTATAATTTAAGCATGTTTTTGTTTTGTAATCGTAAAATCTGGTGCAGCATAAACTATTTAAATTAATGGTTTTCCACCCTACAGTCTTTGGCCCAGCTTGTTTTAGTCACTTAAGGAAATATAATTATTATGAACATTTGCTTTCTAGCAAAATAAATATATATATAATATATTTGAGTATTACGCACCATAGATTAGAAATTAATTTTTTTTAACAATTTATTTTCCAGTTTATCCATGTGCGTAAAGAGTTGGTGGTAATTGTTAGTTTGCTTTCTAGCAGTCCTTTTTCTGTACAGTTTTCTCTTTAACAGGCCTCTTTGCAAATATGTTTAATACCTCTCACTTTTACTATAGTTTAGCTTTTCTTGTGACTTTTAGCTGCAGCTCTTCATTTGTAGGGATTAGGCTACTTAGCCATGGTTTAGGGCAATGGTCCCCAAAGTATGAGCCGTACCCCCCAGGAGGTGCGGCGGGGAGGGAGCGCCACCCAGCCCTGCCCTGTCCTGCCCCAGCTTTGCTCCGGCCCCAGTCCTTGGCCCCCACTCTTGGCCCCTGGGAAAAGTTTGGGCACCACTGGTTTAGGGGTTCCAGGCATATATCAAATGCTTTTGGCTTTCCTCCTGAGTAGGGGAGACCTTTCCATTGGTCATAGGGAGCAGATATAGGTGTTGGGATGGGTATGGGGAAAACATGGAAAGGGAGGATTTAGAGGTTTGGGAGAGGACAGGAGCTGGAGGATATGGAGCCAGGAATGAGACCAGATGCCAGAATGTTCAGAAAGGAGGTCTGTTGACCAGTCTCTCCTACCTGAGTAAGAATGATGACTGAGGCCTGGTCTACACTACCCCCCCACTTCGGACTAAGGTACGCAAATTCAGCTACGTTAATAACGTAGCTGAATTCGAAGTACCTTAGTCCGAACTTACCACGGGTCCAGACGCGGCAGGAAGGCTCCCCCGTCGATGCCGCATACTCCTCTCGCCGAGCTGGAGTACCGGCGTCGACGGCGAGCACTTCCGGGATCGATCCCAGAACATCGATTGCCTGCCGCCGGACCCTCCGGTAAGTGTAGACGTACCCTAAGAATCAACATACTCTTGCAGAATATACAAGGCTCTGATTACAACGCTCAAAGAATATATTGTCACAGGATTATACTCTTAAAATGCTGTACTGGTATGAACGTTTTTAATGATGGGTTGCACATAATGTTGTGAATACACAGTTATGGGATCTCTAATCCAGACTTCTGCAAGTTTTGTGCAACTTTTTTAATGCAAGTGGTTAGGCTTCAGCTATTTGGCTTTTTCCTCCTTTTCTCTCTTTGGCTCACTATTCCCTTCCTGCTTTTCAGTTGAGGTTTAGGAGAGCTGCTGCTTGTTTCAGCCTTCTGCAACATTGTATTTCTAGAGCTCCAAGAAAAGGAAGGAATTGTTTACTGAGAGCTTGGTGCACAAATATTTTAAAAAGTAGACCTTGGGAGTCAGTGTTTATACAAAGCCATTAACGTTTTAAAGGTAAATTGACATTTTACTATCAAAAACTCTATTCACGGTGCTGTGTTCAGGGGTTCTCCCAACAAATTTTTAGGTGGCCTTAAAGTGCGGCCACCAACTCTTGATGGTGGCTGCTGACAATTTTTCCTAAAATACTTAACTTTAGAAAAAACAAATTAAATATTCACATATGCATGTCCAAATCATTGTAATTTATTTATGTAGGGTTTTTTTTGCAGACTCGGTAATTAAAAATTCATGTACAGTTGTCTCTATTCTTAACTGGCCTAAACAGAATAGAAACACAAATAAGGTGCTTTGCGTGTTCTGCTTTTTTGGTTGCGGTTTTTAATTTTTTTTAGACTTGCTAGCAAGTAAGTCTTCTGCTGTGAAAAGTGATATTTGTATATTTGTTAATGTCCCTTTTCCAGCAGACCTACTCAGCCCCAACAAGCTGGCGGACAAATTAAGCTTTGGATGGGGAGTTGAGTAGGGGGCCATGTGGTGATGGGGGGATAGATGGGAGGCAGAAGGGGTCAAGGGCGTTGGGGGAGGTCAGGGCAGAAGCATAGGGTCCTGCTGCATGGATGGGGACTGGAAGAGGCAGCGGGGGCCAGGGGCGATGTGGCGGGGGTGAGCCCAGACCCAAAGCCGGAGCCTGCTGCTCTGCAGCTGGGGGATGGAGCTACAGCTGACTGCATCACTCATGCCTAAAGCAGTGCAAATCTCCACTGCTCTCTGGGACATTGTCAGTGATTAGGAATATGGTTCTACTTTTTTCTTCAGTCTTGTTGGATACTAACTGCCAATCCTGAAACTTAATCTGATATCATATATGAATCAGAACCACAATTTTTGGGGAAAATTTTATTTTTAGTTTAACAATGTGTCTTCTAAGCTAAATCAAAACTACACTCCACAGCATATACAATACAAAGTTTAGGAAACATGTTCTATCAATATTGCATAAGGTAAAATATAAGCTAAGTATTTGTACCTGTCTTTTACTGCAATTTGACAGTGGGAAACAGACCCAGCTCTCCAAGCCACCAGTAAATGCTCACCAGTAGCTCTGAAAAATGAGTTCTGCAGTCGTGCTTGTATACTGGGAAACGAAGCAGATAACATATAAAAATACATGTTCAGTTGCTGGAAAATGCTGATTAATTTTATCTTAAAACTTAATTATTAGTAAATTGTCAAACACTACCCTCTTTGCAGCTTCAAAGACAATAGCCTCATTTTTGCTGAGCAGCGTTTCAGTTTCCCTCTGCGCAGTTATAATTTACAGTAGTTCATTTAAACTGTTGTAACTTGTAACCATGCAATGCCACATGAGCAATTCTAGCTGATGTAAACCTGTCTAAGAACACTTGCATTGCTCCCTCCAACTGCTGCCATACCAGAGCATTGTGGGTACGCATTCCACAGTTGTCAGCGCAAGTCCCTGAAGCAGGGGTTGGTGGGAATACCATTTCACTATTGAAGAGGTGCTGTAACAATTTAAAAAGTGAATCATACGCATTAACATTTTTAATGTATACAGTAGTATGTATTTTGTAAAATTAAATGTCAGTATTACATTAAAATAGCCTTTGTTTTTGAAACCAGAAAAACCTTAGGATTGAATGCATTGCACTTTATAAAATGGAAAACAAATATGCATCAAATAATAGAAGTTACTGTAGTTCAGTATGAATAATCAGGAGTATAGGTGATTGTCACAGTTTTGGGCTAACTAAACCTTTGACCTCCTCTGTGGTCTGCTCAAGGAATCCCCTCTCAGGCCTCTAGCCATCACCATTCTCTGAGCCAGGGACACACATCCCTCTCCCTCTTAACCCAGGGTGTTTAGATTTGCAGCCCCCTTGTTTATCTCCACAAGTCTGAGTCCAGCACCTGTGTGTTGCTTTCACTTCCAGGGCTTTGACCGGTGTATGCCAGCAGTTCCAAGTAGTTAAACAGCTCTTTCAGAGCAGAGCACATTTATTTTAGGATAAAAAGCCTTGGAGAAAACATGTAAAACAATAAAAGGATGAATTGCCTAAGTTCACCTGAAGCCCCCCACCCAGTTCTTATGGGAATTGGAATCCCTGATAAATTCCAAAGTCTTTCAGATCTTTCAGTCAGGCTTTGGCTCTCTTGGTTATCCGGTCATGTCCGTTTGTAGCCCAAGAAGCCCGCTCTGTCAGTTCAAACTCTGCCTTTATATCCAAAACCCCTGTTTTTGTTTTCAAGCCTCCTGAAACATGTAAAACCAGTCACTGCCCCTTTTCCCAGGTGGTCAGGCTTCAAACACTGGGTATCTGCATAACCAGCCTTGGGATTTTGTGTTGATCATCCATAGTGATTCCACAGGGAAATCACCCGGTGAGCCAGGAACACACACATACTTAGAACGTTCACAGACCTTTGTATCATGTGTGCCCATATCGCCTGGCCTCTCAATATAATAGTCTCTGACGTTTTTCATGCTTTCAAGGTCTCGCTCAAATATACAGATAACATTCCTAATGTTAAATACAGAGGTCTAGAGGTATACCTGTTTGCCATATCTCTCACAGTGATATTGAACATATTGGTTGCTGGAGAGCTTGCAGGGATATTGTGGAACACTGCTAGGAAGACCAGTTACTATGGTGTAGCTGCAGCATTAGAACTAGTGGCATATGCTATCTCTTTAAAAGTGCTGAGTGACTCGGTGCAGGAGAAGTGATAAGCCTTGTTTCAAGTAGGAGCAGTTGTGCATTATTGCAAACTGTTGTGTGGAGATGTCGTAAGTGTTTGCAATGTCAGAATTCTCAAGTGTAGAACTGCCTTCAAAGGGTAAACCCCTGAAAATGTCCTGAGAGAAATTTTGGAAGACTCATAGAAGTTTCTTTTCACCACTCTTAAGGTTGGGCTTTGACAGCTACAAAGTGTTCCCTCTGCTGCATTTTCACTAATTGGAAGCTGAAAATCTGTCCTTTCTCCCCATAGTGCTGTAGTCTCTCCTCTGGCTCTCTTCACAGGTTGCTAAATAAATGTTTTTCGGTCTGTTACATTTTGGTCTCTCTGGTTCTGGCTTTTCTGCATGTTTTCTTCAGCCTCTTTTGGGAGGTGAATTCATTTGTAGGAGGTGTTCAATCTGAACTAATTGAATAGCTCTTAAACCTGTAATCCAAAATATAGGCATCTAGGTTCTTGCTCTGTGACTAGACTCTTAAAACATTTACTTCTGTGGCTTCTCTGCTTTTCACTAGTACTTGCAGTTCAGGTAAGCTGTCAGTGTTTGAACTCCAAACACCACCACAGGCTTGGTCAGAGCTAACTTCATCAGCTCCTCAGATCGCTCAAACCCTAGAGAATCTTAAATCTACTCAATAATTTTTCTTTTCAGTAAACAGTTTCCATTCTTGATGGATTTTTGTGTCACACAATAATTTGGTATCAGTCTTATTTTCCAGCAGAAATTCCAAATGGAATTCTAGCTGGCTATATCTTCAATCAGTTGTGTAACAGACAGCCCTAACTCACTTTGCGCACACTGCAAATTGGCAACAGTAAAGGTGTATTTGAAATGTCTGACCACTCTCTGGCTGCCCTAATGAATGCCTGTTATAATAGTACATCCGTGAAGCAGAGCAGCAGGTTACATGTAAAGTATCCTAAAGTATACGCTTTACTTGCCTAAAACCTTTTGTTAGCATCCATGGGGTGCTCCAAGAGAGTGACTCTCTCTGCTAATCTGCCACTTACTGGACTTGCCCAAAAATACCTCTGAAATGTCAGTTCCCTGTGTTGCTTTTGAAAAACTCTCAGTGAAGCATAACTTCTCCTTGTGAACACGTTAGTTGTCAAACATACTGACCCCAAAAGAGTGTTGCTTTGTGTCATCATTTGTTTAGTGTCAGTAGTGTGCTTAGTGCTACACAGCAAGTTCAGTATGATGCCTTGAAGAACACTTCTGCATTAAAATTGCATTTAGTTGTTAGGGGTAACACTATTTGTGCTCAAGTGGTTTTGAGTCATAAAGCGTAAATCCTGTACAGTTGCAATAGGTTGGCTATCAATAGCCATATAAGAAGGAATAATTTATTTAAAATGAAGAGTTAAGAACAGAGTTTATCATTTTTTCTAGATGCAAACTTTCAAGCTTCTGGGGTATATCACAAGATCAGTAATTTTATGAAAGGGTCCATCCTCTTAGAAGAAAACATTGTTTTACCTTAATTGCGTACTGTAGTGTTAGAAGAAGCAGGCTTTGGATAAAGTATACATTCCCATAAGCATGCCAACTACTGTATTACCAGGGATTGCATAGCTATGTGCTCTTTTTAGTAAAGAGTTAACCTGCTCATGACAGAACCTAAAAGCTACAAAGTGTTCCAACTAGTTCATATATTTCATATCAAAGTGGTCAAGTGTCCTAACTATTGGTAGCATATGTGTGTCTTACAAAATAACTTACAAAATTTACTTGTAACCAAGTTTATGAAGAACAGACCTTTAGAGCATGGAGATACAAATCATTACTTTTAAAGATGAGACTGGCTAAATTAAACCATAGTGGTTTGGTTTAGTGAAGTTAATTGAAATCTAAACTGGAAAAATTAAATGTGTCTTTCTTGGGGTGTTAATCTTGAATCATCAGCTGCCTGATGTGGAAATGTCCTTTGAAAGTGGAACATATGGTTCCCGAGGTTAAAACCTGTAACTGAGGAAAGCAGCATGGTCTAGTGATTACAGTAGCAGCAGGACTAGGAGTCAGGATACTATTATTTCAGTTCCTACTGAAACTTCGCACTAGTCAATTGTGTGACTCAGAGCAAATAACTTTATGCAAATAACTTTGTGTTAAGGCTTCATTTATTTTAAAGCACTTTGATCTCGTAAAAGCGAAAACTTGATTTCAGACATTTGAAAACTAGAGCTTAATGCTTCAGATCTATGATGCAAATATTTAACTTTGGGTTTCTTCCTTTTCAGGAAAAGTTCGATGGCAAGATTTTGATCAAGACAGTTATGTTGGTGTTACTATGGTCCGATCTGGTCAGGACCCATACGCTCGTAATAAGTTCAATCAAGTAGAAAGTGACAAACTGCAAATGGACAGAAACATACCTGATACCAGGCATGATCAGTAAGTGCCGAACTCAGCAGTTGTTGAGTTAATCAGTTATTCTTAATTCACGGCTCTTGAGCTGCATATGGCTCTTCTGTACCCTGCACAGTTGTGTCTAAACTGCCACCAATGAGAATTTCCTGGCCCAAGCAGCTGGGCTGATGGTACGACTTGAGCTTTAGACATGATAAAAAATGCTTAAGCTTGCCTAAACTTTGTCTACTGTACAGTTTCTACTTTTCTTATCACCAGTTGAATTCACCAGTTGAACTGGTGGTGAATTACATGTCTTGTTTTTGCTAGTGTTGACAAAGACCTGGTGGCCATTTTGTAGTGTCTGCGTGTCTAGTATTTGCTATTACTGGATCCCAGGCAGAATAAGCAAAATGCCAAAAACTGTAGCACTTCTGTTGCAGGTTGCCTGTGGAGATTCAGGAAGAGTCATGAACTGCCTGAAGCTCAAATCCCATCCTGAGTAGCTGGGCTGTGCATCATGGAATTCCTTCAGGTCTGGGGGTTGATAGAAACCACATGTGTGTATACCCACTCCTGATCTTTGAGCAGTACGCCATCCTCAGGCTGTGGTAGCTTCCACATTGCTTATGCCCCAAAATACATGGGGTGAATGTTCAGTGGATTCACAAAGCAGTGGGACAACTGGGTATCCGTTCACAGGAATACAACGGGGCTCCATGACATGCTGAGAGTCCACATCCTCTGGCCAGCCTTCCTGAATGCTGCCTGCCTGCACATGAGTTAGTGTAAGGAAGAGGACACACTTGTTTGCCCCAAGAGGTGTGAACTACCTCAGTTTATATCAATGGGGTGTTAACTCTGAAGTCTGTGGGTACGCATACGCTATGGGGACAATACTGGCATAGCTTCAGCACCCTAGCTATGCCGGCATAGCCCCATGGTGTGTAGACTCACCAACAGCAATGGAAGGGGTTTTTCTGTCACTGTAAAATCATCACCTCCTAAAATGATGGTAGCTAGGTTGATGGAAGCAATTTTCTATCTATGTAGCTGCATGTACCCTGGGGGTTAGGTTGGTGTAGCTATGTCAGTTGGGTATGGATTTTTTTTCATATCCTGGGCAGGGGGAAAAGTATGTGTCTGCTTTAGCTTTTTTGAGGGTTAAAACTATGCATTTAGAATGTCTACGAGACTTTGAGCATTTCCCTCTTGCCCACTTGAACCTTGAGCACTGGTGACAAGTAGGCTAAATCTTCTGACTTGTTACCCTCTGGATGACTTATCAAGGGTTGCATTATTCATGATACTACAAAACCCAATACTGTGTTATGTCTTACTGCAAAGTCACTGGATAAGGATGTGATTCTTCAGCTGTTAAAGATTAGCTAGTTACCTACTATTGTAGACAAATAAACCTTATTTTTAATGGGTATACATAGGCGTGGGAACTCTGGGTGCAGGGAGTGCTGTAGCACCCCTAGGTTTTACGCGGAGCCGCTCGCCCCCACCCAGGCCTCCACTCCCCAGCCCGGGGCTTGGGTCCCGGCCGCCGGCCCTGTTCCCTGGCTGCTGGCCCCGTGCCCAGGGCTCCGCGCCGGGGCCCTGCTCCCGGCCTGTGGCCCCAAGCCCGGGATTCTGCTTCCCAGCCCGGGGTTCGGGTCCCGGCCGCAGGCCCTGTACCCCAGGCTCCAGTCCTGGCTGGCTGCCCACTTCCCGGCTGCTGACCCTGTACCCAGGGCCCCGCGCCTGCGGCTCTGGCCCTGCTCATTGGCCCTGTGTCCGGGGCCCCGCACCCAGCCCCCTGCTCCCGGGGTCCTGGTCGCTGGCCCCACTCACGAGGCTCCACTCCTGACCCTGCATGCAGGGTCTTGGCTGCAGGCCCGTGCCTGGGGCTCTGCTCCCGGCCCTGTGCCCACCCCCAGCCTTTCCCCCTTACCCCTGTTTGGGTTCTTCCTCCCCCCCCCCGGAGACATGTCACTGCTCCCGGCCCCTACTGGGGGGGTTGCGGAAGGAGTAAGGGAGCTAGATTTCAGCACCCCCACTATTAAAAGGGTTCCAGCACCACTGTATGTATATCAAAGTAGTGTGCGTAGACCTCCAAGTATAAGGCTGTAAATTACACTCAAAATTGAAAGTGGCTCCCAGAGTCCCTTGTCATTAACTTACTTCAGTGTTTGTGTTTACACTTAGTTTTATGGAAATATTATCTTAGTATAGTGCAGTGTTTCTCAAACTGGGGTCGCCGCTTGTGTAGGGAAAGCCCTTGGCAGGCCGGGCCGGTTTGTTTACCTGCCCCATCCGCAGGTCTGGCCGATCGCGGCTCCCACTGGCCGCGGTTCGCCACTGCAGGCCAATGGGAGCTGCTGGAAGCGGCGGCCAGTAAGTCCCTCAGCCCACACCGCTTCCAGCAGCTCTCATTGACCTGGAGCGGCGAACTGTGGCTAGTGGAAGCCGCGATCGGCCGGACCTGCGGACGGGGCAGGTAAACAAACCGACTCGGCCCGCCAGGGGCTTTCCATACACAAGCGGTGACCCCAGTTTGAGGAACACTGGTATAGTGAAATGAAGAGTTGCTGTCTGGGATATTGATTTATCAGATGAACGCATTTGTGTGATCAAATCACAAGCTCAGGATTTGTCTTTTTTTGTTGTTTCATGTTAGTATTAAGTGTTAAGCTGAGCAGCATAAAATCATGCTATTGATAGTGAAATGGTATTCATGCACATGATGATGATGGAAAGAGAACTTTAGCATGAAGATTACTTTGTCTTCACTAGTGGTGTGTTTTTTTTTTTTTTTTTTTTTTCCCCCCCTGGAGTTGAGTTCATAGGAAGAGGTTAAGTGAGTAACTAGTGAGTTATCATTACCAGCTGTCCTTGGTAATTTACAACATTCTGGGCATTAGCTGGCCTGGCATCTCAATGAGTGGCACATTATGACCCTAATTTAGCAACCACCTATAGCTTTATGCTCCCCTGGACGTCAAGAGAGATTATTCTAAAAAATGAAAGAGCAGAAAAGGGGATTGATTTCTTTAAAGGGAGGAGTTAGCATTTAACACAGAATTCTAGAATGACAAATGAGTCAGATACTCAGCCTTTTTGAACAATTCCTTCTCCCTACTCAGTGCTGTTAAATGGCCAGGAAAGAATTTTGGAGAACCCACACTGATGTCTGGGGTGTCCCTAGAACACATTTAGTAAATGGAATAATGAAATCTATTAGGCTGATGGATTGAAAAGGCTAAACTTACAGGAGCCCAACCAAAACTGAACAACAAGTCTTTTTTTCCCCCCTCCCCTTGTTGAGGGCTGGGTGATAAGAAAGGATGGTTACAATTGTGAATTACTTTGACTTTTCCTTACTTCAGGCTGAACATGGTCTTATAAATATTTTAATGTTCTGTGGTTTCTTTCAGAATATGCCAAAAGAAATGTTTGGATCAGAGGGTGTCCTCAGCTGTTTGTGATCATAGATTATTAGAATGAATATATAAATTTGAGAATTAACTTACTTTGCACCCCTATAACTACAAAAAAAATTAGATTTATCCTTTTACTTTCTACAGCTATAGTTATATTGTGTGGCCTTAATTAAATTGTGTTCCATTTTCAGAATGCCTTTGGAGTTCACATGGCATAAATCATCTGTGTTTGGTTCAACTTTTTCTAATAAAGTCTGATATAGTGGCCACCTATCCCAATACTTGAATTAGAGTTGTCTTTGAAAAAATGATGTTTATAATACATCTGTGCTTTCCACTAATAATATAGCTGTTTGGGGTAGCTGAGTAGTGTAATGGAATTGAGCTCCACCTATTAAAAAAGGAGGCAACAAAAAATAGTCCTTTCGGAGACTATTAGAAAGGCAGACTAATTGACGAGAACAGAAGTAGCTCTCTTGCAGTGTCTGGAACTTTGCCCTGCAAACTCTTGTAAGTCCATTCGCTTATAATAGAGATGACATGTGGTTGCTTTACAACTCTTGACCTGTTGATGGTCTTGTGACTTAAGGCTTGTCTACACTGGCAATTAACAGCACTGCAACTTTCTTGCTTAGGGGTGTGAAAAAACACCCCCCTGAGCGCAGCGAGTTGCAGCGTTGTAAAGCGCCAGTATAGACAGTGCACGTGTGCTGGGAGCTACGCCCCTCATTGAGGTGGGGTTTTTTTAGACCACCGGGAGAGCTCTCTCCCAGCACTGCGCGGCGACCACACAAGGCACGTTAAAGCACTGCCGCAGCAACGCTTTAGCATTGCCAGTGTAGACTAGCCCTTGGGCTTGGTCTACACAGTGGAGTTGGATTGACATAGGCTGCCTTATGTCGACCTAGGAGCATGCACAAGAAGGGGGCAAGCCGGGAAATCCCCCCCCCCCCCCCCCAAAATAATTGGCAGAGCCACAGAACTCCTCCGGCCCCGGGGCTGTGGCGGGGGCACAAAACATGCCCCTCCAAAAGCAGTGAAATTTAAATTCCTTCGCCCACCCCTGTGTCAACCTAACTATGTACGTGTCTACACTACAATGTTGCTCCTGCCAATGTAAGTTGCCCACTACACCAACCTAATAACGCCACCTTCACAAGAGGGTAGTGCTTAGGTTGGTTTAGATAGGGAGGCACAGTGTCTGTGTAAACACTGCGTTATACTTAAATCATCTGTTGGCTGCCAGCCCTGCGTGGGGCTTACAGCCGGAGCCCACCCATCCCAGAGCTCAAAGCTGGAGCGGCCTGGTGATGGGGCTGACAGCTGGGAGCCCTGGGGCGGGGGGGCATATAGCTCGGGCTGTGGGCCCTGGGGTGGGGGTGCTGTCAGTGCCCCATAATGCCCCACACAGTTAAGTTTGTGGAGGTGCTCCTAGTGAGGACGTGCACCACCAACAGAGAGGGTGTAGTGTGGCCATGAGCTGCCGTAGCTGTATGTCGACTTTCGGCTATGTCTATGCTAGCACTTTTGTCGATTAAAATTTATGTCGCTCAGGGGTGTGAAAAAACTACTCCATTCTCTCCCCCGAGCGACATAAGTTACACCAACAGAAGTGCT